AGAGAAAGAGAGAGAAAGAGAAAGAGAGAGAGAGGGAGAGACAGAAAGAGAGAGAGAGAGAAAGAAAGAAAGAAAGAGAGAGAGAGAGAGAGAGAGAGAGAGAGAGAGAGAGAGAGCGAGCGGAAAAGATAAAGATCGGGAGCAAAAGTTCTGGAGGTGAAAAATAATCTCCCTTTTATCCACAACGTTTCCAGCAGGATAAAACGAAGAGGAAAGGGTGCACAGTGGTGGAAAAGTAAGAAAAAAGGTAAATGGGTACATATCGCGTGTTCTTAAAAAAAAACCCAACCCTCTAATATCCGTCTGCTTCGTGAATTACATCCATGTTCTTTGAGAGTTAATGTCTTACTTGATCAGTCCCCTCATATTTTCCATCTCCACTTAGACAGCTCCACATCACAGCCATCCCAATCCCCACCAACCCCCTCAGCCCGGGTTGGCCTTGAAAGGCAAAGCCGAAGTTTGCCTCCTGAATGATTTAAATTGTGTCAAAGAGAGAGTAAAACACCTACATTTAAAAGATAAAACAACATCTTTACAGTACCCTTCACCACAACCACTACTGCAATCTTCACCACAACCACCACTGCCATCTTCACCGTAACCACTACTACCATTTTCACTATCATTTCCGTCTTCACTACAACAACCAAAACGCTCCACCATCTACCAACGCTACCCAATAATGCCACCACTACTACTACTACTACTACTACTACTACTACTACTACCATAACTACCACAACCACCACTATTACAACCATAGCTACTACACTACCACTACCACCACTATCACCATCACCACCTCAAAAACCACCAGTACTACCACCCAAACGGCAACCGCAACCACCACGATCATAAACAATAACCAGCATCTGAACCAACACGAGCACCAATACCACCAGCCCTACAACCGCTATCACTATGATCATTATCAACATCAACAATCAGAAGTTGGTCTCTACTGTTGTTTGATTCGGAATCTGTTCCATTTCCTGTGCTCGCTCCAACCACATTATCCACTGCTTGCATACCCCCCTCCCACCCCATCCTACCCCCCTCCCCCGCTCTCTCTACCTCTTTCTCTCTCTCTCTCTCTCTCTCTCTCTCTCTCTCTCTCTCTCTCTCTCTCTCCGCCTCTCTCACTCTCTTTCTTTCTTGTCTCTTGCCCTCGTCTTCTCAAACCTCACGCACACTCACAGCGCGCGGTCCTACCTTTCCGACACTTTTCTTCTTTCTTTCTTTTCTTTATTTTTCCCCCTTCATTCTCTCTTTTGTTCTTTTTCATCACCATCTTCTTATTCTTCTTTTTCTCCTCTCTCTTTCTCCCTGTTTTGTTCTCTCTCTCTCTTCTCCGCTTTCTATCCCCGGCTCTCTTAATTCTTTTCTTCCCTCCCCCAAACTCGCCCAGTATCTCTCCATCTCTCTCTCTCTCACTCTCTCTCTCTCTCTCTC